AAGGGAAACTAATCTGCTCTAGCTACATTTCTTAAATCATTTCAGATGGTTTTAAACTGTGTAATGTGGAACAATGTTTTGGTGGATTCTGTAGGACCTTCTTTAAAACGTTTTACACTAATTTAACTTTGGAACTGGACTATGTTGCATATTCAAAAAAATACATATGTTTTCATTTTATAGTTTTTGATTTCCTTTGAAAAATATAATATATGCAGAAATATAAATAGTCATAAGAGAATGAACAGTTAGGTGTTGATTGGGGCCAAGCAATAGGCCTCTGTAACGTTGGCATTTGTTCAAAATCAGCAGTAAATGATTACAAAAGTAAATGTTTTAAAGTTGGAGGAGGTAGCATAAAAAGTAAGCAACTGGGCCCATATTCAAAAAGATTTTCAAAGTCCTCTCAGAGAGCTCCTGTCTTAGCCTTGGCAAACACTGCTAGCTTAAGGGGGATTCTGTTCACTGCTGAGAGTGACTCTGAGCGAGGAGACGACAGAACTTCCTATCTTAGTGAGCTGTGGTTGACCCCGCTGCTAGGTGCGCTCCTAGTGAACAATAGAGAGAAAGTAACTGATGATAGAATTTGGACTGGATTCTGAAATGTGTAAATCATGATGATAAAACTTAGCAAGATTATATCAATTGTCACACAGCATCAACATGTTTGAACGTAGCTTATTTACATGCTCATCATTATTTTGATTTGCTTAATATTATGTTTACTCGCCATGCTGGTCGTTTTCATACTGGTTCTATTTCATATTAAAATTAAAATTCAGCATTTTACTGTCCTTGCCTTCTCGTATAATGAGGTTTAGTTTGGTAAAATGACCAAAACAAAACGGAGTCAAAAAGGTGGGGAAAACTGAACTGAACAGGAGTAGAGCCTGCTGGTGGAGGAGAAGAGAGGAGTGTTGAAAGGTAGATCACAGGTAGATCACAGTGCGACCAAAGAGACGTTCCCGAGCAGATCAATGCATGGTTCCTTCTGCTTTCAGCACCAGCCTGGAATGTGAGCAGCTGTGGTTCCTGCTGCTTTCAGAAGCTAGAGAGGAGATAGCAGAACACCAGAGAACTTCTCCACAGACGGGGAGTGTTGTAGATGACCATTTAGGCTTAGGCTGCTGATATCATGTACAATACAGCAAACACTTATTCACCTCATTTACATCTTCCTTCCATGTATATAGTGCTTATATTATTGTACTGTATCTTGTCTAGAGTTTCTAGTTATGTATATATATTTTTTCGAGTTTTTCCAATTTTTTTCCAAATTTTTATTTTTTGAAAGCATTTTACAGTCTAAATTTTTAAATAATTCTGTACTATATTGTTTGTAATTTTGTTCACTTTTTATTCATGGCAATTTATTCTTATTTCTATTATTTCTTTGTTTATCGTTCCTAATATTACCTTACTAGAGGTGCACCTTTAACCTGTCCTGCTGCTGATACGTTTTATTTCCCCCCAGGGAGATGATAAAGTTTATCTTATCTCTATATCAATAATTGTATGATTGTTATATAATTTTATGTTCTCATTGACTCAACTGTTTAGGGGGTGGATCCCTGAGCGATCGAGCCGGTACCATTTTATTATTTCGCTGTTATTCATTGTACAGAGAATATCTCTCCTTTCTCTCTGTCTTTCCACCATCTTCTCTGCTTAAGAAACTATTCGGCTCACTAAAATCCTTCTCACTACTCCTAACATTTCCTCATGTCAGAAACTCTCTTTAGGCCTAAGGTGCTTTGTGAATATCTTTTATCTTACCGAGGGAAAATTCTAAGAAAAATCGTAGAATTTCTTAAATTCTACGATTTTTCTTAGAAGGACATCACTAGGAGCTACTTTTAGCTTTAGGATTATTTGTGAATACAGGCCCTGAAGTTTAGGTGGTACAACAGCTTCAACAATGGGGCTAGTGGTTGAATTCACACTTTGTACTTTTAAATATAGGCTGCTTGTGTTCAGTTAATCAAACTCTTAAACTGTTTCTTTCCTACTAGCCACAAGGCTAATATGGAAAAGAAATTGTTAGAATAGAAAAGATTTACTTTTTAATCCCAAACTGACAGATTTGTATGTTGTAGCAGCAGGCATAAAATATCCACTATGTAAAAAACGATTAACACTATAACGTAAATTATCAATAATATTATAAAAAAAGTACAAAGTACACACTTGTATGAACAATATGCCCAAAAACTTAATTATTGCTTGGTTTAGATTTAAAAATAACTGAGATTACAAAACTGTGCTAAGAAAAAAAGAAACCAACAGTGCAAAAGAAGCCTTAATATTACAGCCAGAAGTCATCGTTGACTATCTGCTGCTGAAACAGTTTACTAAATATCATTGGAATAAGAATATGTTTTCCTCTGGCAAGATAATCTGTGCATTCCAGAGGTAAGAGGGTTAGGTGAACAATGATCACTTTGATTCACTTTCTTTCAGCAGTTTGTTTTTTAAATTTCTTACATTAATTGGCTAATAATGATAAAAAGCAAACATAAAAAATACACAATTTGATACATGTGGAAAAAGTAAAACCTTAGAGATACACAGATCAGAATTGATTTGGCCAATATCCAACCTCTGGATTATGCCAACACCTATTTTAGCATATTACAATTTTTTTTTTAAGAGAGAGGATAAAAGAAGATTCATGGAATCACTGAAAGTATTTTCTACCAGGATGAAAAAGAGCAACTTTGCCTTACTCCATTAAGCCTTCCTGTTATCTGCTAAGTCTCGCTCACTGTCGGCTTTGCCTCAGTAAGAAAAGTAGCTACTGCCTGTCCTACAAATTGCATAATGATGTCATTGCTCAATTTGTATAATTGACCATGATGTAACTGTAATGGGTGTTGCAAATAGGAGATGAGAGAGGGACAAGAAGTGAGTAAAAACATAAATACATAAGTCAAATGCAGGGCAAGGCCAGACTGGCTTATTTGTATACCACCATTAATACACAGGATAACTGAAAGTGCTTTACGCAAGGCAGTGTTTTATTTTATTTTAGTGCAGTTATTTTTTATATACATAGAAAAACATTACTCCAGCACCCTAATCAGCCAGGCAGCATCTTCACACATATACAATAGATTTTTTTGTCTGGCCTGGGGTTGTAAACATCTCCTGCTCCTCTGAAGACTGGGCCCCTGCTTTGGGAAGGACCCATGAAAGCACCGACTGCTTGTTAAGAACGAGTAAGAATGATACGTTTTTCACATCTGAGTTTCTAGAAGTCTCCAATAAGATCCAGAAAAGTCATTAGATGTAGTTACTCGTGAAATATGGTAAAAGCCATTAAGTTAACAACACTGGTCAGACTCTCGCTTGCATGCAGTCTGAATGAACTGCAGCCAAGTTTCTTTTTAAACTATTTCTTACATCTCTGTGCGTCCTCAGACCTTACTGATACTGAAAACAGCCAACTCTGGGTTCTTTACTCTGTCACAGTAACTGTTGTTAGACTGACAGGACAGTGCTTAGGTGTGCTGGATTCATTGATCGGAAACATACTGGATTTTTAAATTTCTGATCAAGCTGAAAATCAGTTCACCAGCTGATTTCTCAGAGCATCTCTACAAAACATGCATGGCATTTCAATGAAAAAGGGACATCAAACAGTGACATATCAGTCAAAAACATGACAAATATACAGTGTGCTCATCTTATGCAGACTACAATTCAGTGCTGGAAAACAAATCTGAAGGAACTCTGCACATTTGTTCACCAGTTGTAAGGGAATGTCCCACTTAGACTTTGATTAAGCCTTTTTATATTCACTCTTTCAAACATTTAGCAAACCACCCACATTACTCCCCTGCTTCCTCCTTTCATTTCATCAGAAAATAAAAGATAGTCACTGACGAACAAGACAATATGCAGGGTGAAAGTAGGTCAGAAAACTCTTTATGTGTTGCACATGCAGTGACAAATTCAAAGTGCAGATGACAACAAACCCCTGAGGGAAGGAGTCTCTTCTGCTCCACTCAAAGGAAAGTCCCACCCTTTAAATGAATGTGTTAGCTGCTGTCACCAGTCTGGTGTTATTCATCAATCCTTTAATATGTACTTTAGGGTGTTAAACCTAAATGATAAAGAGATGATTTGCCAGTGACAGCGTTGTGTCCTTGTGTGCCTCTGTGTACATATTTATTATTCAGGCTGATGAGCTCATCCATAACAGTGTGAACTGTTGTAATGCTGGGTTCATTTTGACAGCACATTTTAACACAATTAAAATAAGTTTAGGGGATGAAATAAGGGACAATAAATGAAAAAGTAAATAAGAAATAAATAGTGCTGTGAAAAATTAATTTCTCCTTATAATGATTTGCAGCTTCTCTAGCTTCAAACACTTCTGCACCTTCACACACTTAAATGTTTTAGATCATCAAACAAAATTCAGGTACCCTGAGTAAATACAAAATGTGAGCTTTCAAATTATGATGTTATTTATTTACGGAAAATAAACTATCAAAACCAACCTGTACCTGTGCAAAAAAGTTATTTAACCCCTGAGAATCTTTAACTTTTTTATATGTTTGAAGTAGCTTCTTCACTCTTTATCAAAAATGTTCCAATGACATCCCATCATTTATATACAAAAAAATCTAGTTTCATTAAGGTTTCTTCTATGTTAAGTGAAATAGATCAGGCCTTAGTTGCTTTCTGCCTTGCTATGGTGGCCATGATTGATAATGACCTCCCAAAGGTCTGACAGTTATGAAAAAACAAAACAAAAGCTCAAACACTTCATTTGATTCAATCTGAAACAGCTAGTTTGATCCTTTTTTTGCAGTAATAATATCAATGTGCAGAAAAGAGCAAAATTAGAGAATAATGGTATATTTGACAACACATTTATAACGTATTGGTAGCAATGATTGTTTTTTTTAAGGTTTTTTGACTCTAGAGTCCTTTAGCAATTAGTATCTGAAGAGGAAGAAGGGCTGAGAGAGAAGGGAAGGACATGTAGTGAATGGCCCAGGGCCAGGAATCGAACCCGGGGCAGCTGCATTGAGGACTGCAGCCTCTGCCTATGGTGCGCCGGCTCTACCACTGATCCACGTGGTGCCTCGCAAAAATAATTATTTAAAAATTATATTTGTTAAAACCAGTGATGGGAATAATGGCGTTAAAATAAATGGCGTTACTAACAGCGTTACTTTTTTCAGTAATGAGTAATCAAACAAATTACTTTTTTCAGTGTTATAACGCCGTTACCAATCTCTTGTCATCTGTCATGGCTCACAGGAGCTAAGCTTTTTTTCTTTGGTGAAGGGAGGAGCGAGACAATTGTATAAGTGATGATGACTGGCTAAGGTAGAGTAAGCTTTTATTGTAAGCCAATCAGATGGAGTTTTCAGTTTACACACAAACTACAAACAAACACAACAGCAAAATAGCAGATGTAAGCTGCAACAATAGTGGGTCTGGAGGGAAATATTGTGTTTTCAAATTGGAAGTACAGACGCTACTTTATTAAATATTAAAAGTTTGTTGTTTAATAGGCTACTTGTCTATGTAATTCCATTTTATGCAACTGGCTTGTGAAACCCTAGAAAAAAATTCTAAATTCATAGACATATTTAAACTTAAAAAATGTAATGTAATAGTTATTTTCCCTGTTAACCAGTTACTTTTGTAGTGGAGTAACTCAGTTACTAACTCAGTTACTTTTTGGGAGAAGTAACTAGTAACTGTAACTAATTACTTTTTTAGAGTAACGTGTCCAACACTGGTTAAAACATTATAACTGTAATACGGGCTGTGCACTGACAACACAAACCTCACTCAATATTACATATCTTTTTAAGCTCTCTATTTTAAACTAACCTTAATTAGTTGGTGCTTCTTTGGGGTGCAATGCATCATTAGTTGAATTGTTTGTTTGCTTTTCAGATGCATAATCACAGGGGTGTTTATTCCAATGCTGCACTCTGATAATTAGCACTGCCAACTGCATGTTAATCCAAGTAAAAAGAGAGATAAATGTTTCCCTTCTTGCCATTCTCCAAGATGATTAACCTTTCTGCATTTGGGCAAATATTTCCTATCCTATATTCCTTGTAATGTTCTAGGATATTTGTGCTTTTTGCATTTTTTTAGTTTTCTTTTTTTCACACTTGAATGTTTTCAGATCATTAAACAAATCTTATAATCAGACAAACACAATATTAGTAAATAGAAAATGTTAAAATGTTGATTTCAGACATATTCACCCGCTCTTCTTTGCATATTTGTTTTAATTCAACCACAGTGGTGGGTTTTGTAAAAAATAAAATCATACCACAGCATCTCAATTCAGACTTTGACTAGGCCATTCATAAACCTCAACAGCACAAGTGCGGTTTGGCCTAAGATCACAAACTGTTGGCCGCACGTTCTCCTACATCAGACTACCTTTACCATGATTGACTGTTGATATAAAGTTCTTTTTCTAAAAGGCTGTTTTACAGCAGACAAAACGGGACGCACACCTTCCAAAAAGTTTAGCTTTCGTCTTGCCAGTCCATAGAGAATCATCAAGATGTTTTTTGCAGTTATGAGATTGAGCATTGTGCTGTCTTTGCTCAGCATTTGAGCTTCTCCATGGATCCATCTTTTTGCAGTCCCTTTCTTATTGTTGAATCATGGAAGCTGGCCTTGTTTGTGGCAAGTGAGGTCTGCAGATTTTTAGATGTTCTTGGTTCTTTTATGACCTCTTGGATGAGTCATAGATGCGCCCTCTGAGTAACCTCGGTGACCCGGCCACCACGGTTCCATGCTTTCGCTATTTGTGAGTAATGCATCTGACTGTGATTTTCTGGAGTCCAGAAGCCTTGGAAATTGTTTTGTAACTCTTGCAATAACTTTGTTTCTTATCTGTTCTTTATTTTATTTAGACTGGGATGTGATGCAAATCTTTTTCTGATTATTTAGCCTAATTCGTGCTGTAAGTTTTTGTTTAGGAGTTAGATGTTATGTTTCTCCAGGGCGAGTGTGTTTTTTTATTTTATTGTATAAACATTGATAAAAATCAACTGGATAATTCTTTTTATATCACCGCAGGTAATCTTTTTTCTGATGTTAAAATGTGATTGATGATATAAAAAATATATCACTTGCAAGGAAGCATAAACTGAAGAAATTTGTCAAGGGGCAAATAATTTTTCACAGTGCTATATAAGAGATGTCCTGAGTTCATTTGTGTCAAGTGTTGTGTGGTGGTGCCCCCAGAATGCAGGTGAGCAGGAAGCAGCGTAGTGTGGTGAGTAAAAGATTTAATAAGTACAACTCACTTCAGCATGTGGTGGGAGAAACAGGCATGGACATGCAGGCAAGACAGGCTTAGCATGAACAGAACGAACTGAAATGTTTCTGCGAGAAATGAACAGAATGACAGTGTATAGTTGGAGCGTGGTACAGGTGAAATGAGAAGAATGATTACATGATGCAGGTGGACCGAATGAAGCTGATTGCAGGTTGACAGATGCAGGGAGAACAAAACGTGACTAGGCAAAACAGAAATCCAACAATATAAACCAATTGGGAAAGCATAATGTACAGAACATGAACCAGAAAACAACAATGAGAAACCAAAGCACAAGAAAATAATAAACAGAAACAAGATCCAAAACATAAACTGGAAACAAGAATAACTAAAACCCAAACAAGAACCCAAGAAAACCCTCAAATCATGACAGTTTGGCAGCCTTATAGCTACATGGAGATAAGGAGATGCTGTTTGCAAAAAGTGAAAACAGTGATGTGAGAGGGTTGGTGAATGAAAGATGACAGGAAGCTGAAGAAACACTCAAACATATAACATACTTAAAACCTCTGTCCTGTTTCCTGTTTATGGTGTCCTGGCCGCTATTTTGGTCGGCAAGATGTATGAAGAGAGACCTTCAACTTTAACAATAGAGCAGTTCAGAGTGAAAACATTTTAACTTTGTCATTTGTGTCGGTTCTTCCTGGTTCCAGTCTGCTAGCAAAGGGAATGACATGCTTCACATTCACTCACTTCTTAAAACATTGGTGTGCACGTTTCTTGCTGTCTTCGGGTATTTTATTGTCTTTTTCATTAGCACCAATTTCCGTTGTTCTTCTAGTGAAACCACAACACCCTGTACATTATTCCGCATGATTCAGTTTTATGAAAAAGGATGACTTGACAGCACAAACTCAGGAAATTTGGCGGAGAGTCAGGGTTTCCTTTTTGTCCTTTTTGAGACAAGTTTGGAGAAAAGAAGAACAGAAAATGTCCTGTTTCTATATTTGGTGGAAGGTCATTCATCACGCCACAGTTTGAAGAACACAGGTCACCAAATAAAGGAAAACATCTCCGTGCAGCAGTCTGCTGTGGCCCACTGCCATCCGCCATGACGCCTGTTTATCCATCATGCTTCCTGTCCTTGTGAAGCCAGAGTGCTTGTTTTTTAGCGTGTTTGTTCAAGTGTTAATGGGTTTGTGACCGCATTGCTCTTTGTCCTCCTCCTTCTAGTTGTTTTTTAATGCCCCTGCCTTTTCTCAGACACAAAGAAACACACTATCACTCAATAATCTTTATTAGTAGAACACTTTTTTTTGCAGACAAACGTGTTACAACACAAGAGCTTCACAAATATTTAAAAAAAAATTCTTCCCACTCCTTCCATACAGGGTTGTGGGGGAGCTGGTGCCCATCTCTAGCGATCGATGGGCGAGAGACGGGGTACACCCTGGACTGGTCGCCAGTCCATCGCAGGGCAACACAGAGACATACAGGACAAGCAACCATGCACACCTAAGGGCAATTTAGAGAGACCAGTTAATCTAACTTTCAAGTTTTTGGAATCCAGGAGGAATCTGGAATACCCAGAGAGAACGCACGCAAACATGGTGAGAACATGCAAACTCCATGCAGGAAGACCCCCAGCGGGGAGTTGAACCCAGGACCGCGCTGCAAGGCAACGGTGCCACCAACTGCGCCACCTTGAAGCCAGATCAAAATATTTGTGATCAGATAAAAACAAAACACATAATACAATCAACTACATCACACAATACTTTTTAAAAGTGTTAACTAAAACTGAATGAGACAGAGAACAGGCACATGGGGAGGAGCATAGCAGTATACATGTGCGGTTCTTAATTGATTTGCAAATATTGCAGAATGGCATCTGAGTTGTCCACACAGCTTGACGTGAGTGAGTGACTGCCGACTCAGAAAGACAAAGGTTACGTTCACATGCCAGCTCTTAATGCTCAATTACAATATTTTGTTGAGACTTTTTACATAATGAATTTAAGGCAACCGCTATTAGACTCCAGTGTGAACAGTTTGTGGCCCTGAAGTTACCTGCATGCACAGAAAGACATGATGCCACATGCAGCACGCTGTGTTTACAGAGGCAAATATGGATTGTGCACGTTAGCTTTTGTCAATTAGTTATGTTATTGTTGTGCAAAATTATGACAGGTTTCTACTGTAATGTTTGTAAATATGGTAATGGATGGACTTCACTATTAGCTTAGTGCACAGGTAGGTAGCATTACTCTGCACAAAGTGTGAATAAATAAATAATAAGCTGACCCAGCAGCTTGTAAATGTGCAACTATTTATGAGAGCATCAGCCACAACATCCGCCATGCAGTTTCTTCCAGTTATCACATCTGATCTTGCCGCTTTCAACCTCCTCTGGCACAGAATTATGAAATGCATCAGATTTAGGACCACATAATGAGATGGCCTGGGTCTGACTTAAAAAAAAAGATTTATATTGTTCAGACCCTTTGAATACTCTAAAAAAAATCCTGGGTCATATATGGGAAAAAAATCAGATTTGGATTGCTTTTGGCTACACTGTGAGCATAACTGAAACAACTGTTCTGAGCCAAAGAAAACAGCATCTGGAAGCACTTTTCTCATGACAAACATGGAAAAAGAAGTGCAATTTAAGTATAATTAATATTAATTGATAATTTTCACTCCCACTTAAACACCTAACAGTGAAAGAAAGAAAGAAAGAAAGAAAGAAAGAAAGAAAGAAAGAAAGAAAGAAAGAAAGAAAGAAAGAAAGAAAGAAAGAAAGAAAGTTCCATTTCTAAGAGC